TCTTCCTGGCCAGGCAGCCCAGAGCAAAGGAAGTCAAGGAGGTAGAGGGTCCGGATAGTGGGTTCTGGGACCCCAACCTCACCCAGCAGATTTCCTGTACCTGGGCTCCATCGCCTTCCCACAGTTCCCCGACCGGGCAGACTGTTTCCTGCCTCCCTGCATTAGCACAGGCAGTTCCCTCCACCTGGCATGCCCTTCCTCATCTTTCAGGTCCCAGCTTGGCTGTAACTCCACTGGAGAACCTTCCCTGAGTCACTTGGGGCTCCCCCTGCATCCTTGCCCACCCTGGTCACAGCCGTTTTCTGGATGATGCTCTCATGGGGTGGCGAGGTCTTGGGGATGCTAGCTTTGCCTTTAGTACCCCAGCCCCTGGCACAACAGGTGCTCAGTAAATCCGGAAGGAAGGGAAGGAGGAAGGGAGGGAGGGAAGGGAGCAAAGAGACACCTCTCAGGATTGGAGAGGATCTGGACCATGAGCACCTGGCACAGGGCTGGGCACGGAGCAAAGCCCACTCCCTGCTGCCTCCTCTTGAGCCTGGGCTCCAGCACCTGCCTCATCCGATTTAGAGCCGGCTCAGGGGTCATCTCCACACCCGCAGGCCTGTGTCTGCTGCCCATTAGGATGCGAGGTAATGACACCAGGAGGCAGACGTGCACTTGACTTCATAGGAGCTAGTGTGTTTGGGAGAAAGGCCTCCATTCATCCAGCTGTGCAAACTTGCAAGGGCCTGAGGGCTGACCTTGAGCAGGGGTTTCCAAAAGCTTTACCTGAGGCCATTCTGTAAAGCAGATGGAAGCTAAGGTGCTTGTGGCGAAGGGGTGGGTGTTGAAGGCGACTGGGAGATGGGACCAGAGTCCCCTTTCCCCTGTGGCTTTGGGTTCGGGGCAGACAGTCCTGGCGGTCGGATGGGGCAGCCAGGAGAGAGGGAGAGCGCTGGGGAGAGCCCAGAGCCGACATTTACTAACTGTACCGAAGGGCTTCAGTGTTTTCAGAACTGTGTTCATGCCCATGTGACTGGGCCAGTGAACTCACCTTTCACAGCAAGAAGTTAGTCTGTACCAAAAAAAAAAAATGAAACTATGTCCTTGGAGAAAATCATAATGACTTCAACCTTTAATGTTCTCACAGTTTCTTTTTTTAATCTTGAAGGGATGTTTTAGGGGAAGTGTCTCTTGTATAGAGGAAATATATGAATTCAGCAATTCCATAAACTTCTCTTTGTTTTGTGAAACTCAAGTAAAGTTAAATTTAAAATTGTATCCAAGATATGATTGTTTTCATAAAAGTATCTCTACCCATCTGTTCATCACCCATGCTTCTCTTTTTGTATTTGCATATTAAGTTGTCTAAAAGGACGTTCACCTATGTGATTGGTTATTCTGGCTGGTGGGCCTGGGTTGTGTTTTTACTTCCATCTTTGGGACTTCAGCATGTTTGACTGAATTCTGTATAATGGACAGATGCCAGTTTTTATTTTAGTGTCATTTTTTTCTTAAAAAGAAATACAGGAAGAAAACAGCAATGACCTAGTCATTCAACAAATATTTATTGGACAACTTGATGCCAGGTTGCCATGTTTACTGATAACTTTAGGTTTTTGGTTAGTACACCTTGTAAATCTTTTCTCCTAGGTTACTCTGCAATTATTGTATGCTGCCACTAGGCGGCAGTAGGCGCAGCAGTATTTGGGGAGGTGCTTTTTTGGGGGGGGGGGGGGCAGGTCTCAGATAAGACTTTGGGTTCCAGATTTGTAAGTTCTCATTGACAACTTTTGTTTTGTTTTTTAAATCATGTCTATTGTATATATGTTTTAAATCCCACAAGATATTATGTAACACAGTCAATATTTATTTAGTTTTATCTACCTTTCAGTTTGGCAGTCTTTATTCTTACTTTATTTACTCCTTTCATTTGGATAGTTTTCCCTCTGCCTGATGAACATTTAATGTTTATTTTGAGTGTGAGTGAGCTGGTGAGAAACCCTGACACCTCTTATTGATCCAAAAACATCTTTATTTCGTGTTCCCTTCTGAAGAGTCTTGTAGCCTTGTGCTTCTTGCTCCATTTAACATAATTGTGCCTTTCTGCTGGCTACTTTTAAAGTCCTCTCTTTAACTTCATTTTTCACCAATTTGGTGGTGAGTGGTCAAGGGTTAGCGCTCCTTGAGTCTGTGCCTTCATGTCTTTTGGAAATACTCAGCCATGATTCCTTCCAGTATCACTTCTGAACGTGCCTGGGCTGGTGCTGTGGGCAATCTGTCTGGACAGTCGCTCCCCCTGGTCCCTGGAGATGCTTGGGCTGCACTCCCTGGATGTGCCTGAGTGTCCGCGTCATAGGGACTGTGCACAGTGACATCCACTAAGTGGTCAGCGACACGTGGGTGCTTGCTTACTGACCCCTCCCCGCCCCCACTGCGGTCATGGCGTCTTCCTGTTCTGTGGGGTCTCTGGACACAGGCCTGCGGGTCCACCTCTGGGGTCAGGTTCCAGGACCCTGAAGCATGGATGCCTCAGTCCCTCTTCCCCGCCCTGACAGGACATCAGTGGGAGACAGTTCTGTCCACACCTCCTGGTCCTGTCTGCCTCCCTGCCCCTGTCCCAGACCCGACCAGCACCTTGACCAGAGAGGTGAGATGCCACTTGTCCCTTCGTCCAGGGTGGAGCCAGACCAGTTCCAGCCCATCGAAGCCATGGGTCTGAAGGAACGGTGGCACCGACTTGATGAAAGTGCTGGGTGTTGGAGGCTGTTTTGGAAAATCTAGGAATGAAATCACCGCAGAAGAGTGCTTAGTGCTGAGATGCTGGGCACGGTCCCCTCTGGGGGGTTTCTGTTCCCCGAGGAGCAGGGAGCCTGAGCCCACAGCCCCAGGAGACACGGCCAGGGTGGGACCCACTTTTAGTCATGTGCTTTGGAGCCAGACACCCCTGGTTCCCAAGGGAGGCTCCGTCACCCACTAGCCAAGCCACTCACAGGCTGTAACCTGGGTCTCAGTGAGCTCGTCTGTAAAACGGGGATGAATATACTCTCTTGGTGCCACTGTGAGGATTGCATGTGAAATGGCCTGAAAGGGCGCCTGACACTTAATAACCACTCACTGAATGGGAGCTGCTGTGGCCGTGCCCCGCCCCCTCTGTACGCCCCGCCCC